TCAAACGTCCTCCCGTTGGTGTGGTAGTTAGGAGAGGGGGTGCCAGCTCAGGTGTCGTCCTCGTCACTTGACCATGGTTCAAAATGACGAGGTCCGTCGCCAAAAGCCCTCGTGTAACTGAACAGTGCGACGTTAATATTCACTCACTCCCTCACTCTAACTGTGGGGCGCGCCCTCATTGGGGCGTGATAATCCTACGAAGTGGACGCAAGCATATTTAAGAGTAAAAAAAAAAAGATTATTTTAAAAAAATATTAATATATTGAAATAAAACAAACAAATACACATTCTGACATAATAAAAAATAAAATACACATTTACACTGACATAATACCCTTATATATATAACAGTACTGCGCAATGTATTTTATAATTAATTTAATTATACTAGTAAGTTAAGAACAAGTTTAATAATAACCATTGGCCCCATGTGGGTTTGTCATATATAAAATTATATACAGAAGCTAACATTTATCTTGATCATTTGTACGGTTTATAATAAATCTTTTAAATGCCAATTAAAAATTACGCTCCCCAATGCCACTGTTAAACACATAGGGGAGCGTATGTGGTGTATTGAGGGGGGAGAGGGTATAAAAGAATGAGAGAGAATATATAAGGAAATCCTCTGAAATAAGTAAATCCGTTGCAAACACACTGCCAAGGTACTTTTGTTGCATACCAAAGCCTTCGGAATAATTTTATGGATAGCGGTGCACAGAAAAGATCGCACTTTGGACAGACGTAAGGGCAATTAACGCACTGGCTGAGAGAAGACACAATTAAGAGGTTAAAGTCGTATTGTAGCTTTAGCGTCAAAGTATAGTATTATTGAATTCAATACATTGATATTGTATGGAAGGGGCGCAATGAAAATTATGATTGTGAATATTGGGTCGCAAATATTGAAAGTTTGAGATGCACTGTTGTACAGAATAATTTTCGAAAATATTGCAATGTGATCATTGTGCTTATAGTTAACTATATACAATTATGTTATACATAAAGAATCCCGAAATCTTTTCGCTGAAGCAATTCTTTCAAAAAGATATATTGCACTTATTTGAATTACAGTGAAATTCGTTTAACGCGAAACACTTAAGACGAAATATCGGTTAATAGGAAATTAATACAATGGTCTCAACAAGCTACTGGGTATTTTCATGCATTTTTTTCTCATAAAACGAAACGGAAAATCTCTTAAGGTATCCGACTACGTTCAGAACTGTGATTTTGCAAAAGCGTATAAATGGATAATATTTATGATATTTAGTGTCACTTAGATTAGAAAATGCATATAAAACTGTTTTAAGAATAGTATTACAATAAAAAATTATTTAAGTACACTATTTTGACAAAAAATGAACATAGAATGACCCATTTTCAAAATAGTCTCCTTTTGTGAAAAATGCTTCTATTATAATAATATTTTGCCTGTATATAACTCAGACCTCTGTACAGAGGCTCAACTAGAATTTTTGAAATATATAACTTAGAAGTGGGTTTATCCATGTCTTACGACAAAAGAGGGGAGAAATTTTAAGAAAAAAACGCCGATAGCTATTTCAATGAGTTGTAACTCTGAAAATAATATGAATTTTTCAAAAGTCACATAGTTGAGCCTCTGTAGAGAGGTCTGAGCTATATACAGGCAAAATATTATTATAATAGAAGCATTGTTCACAAAAGGAGAACATTTTGAGAAAAGGTTATTCTAAGTTAATTTTTAGCCGAAATATTGTATTCAAATAATTTTTTTGTCAAAATGTCCTTAAAACCATTTTATACATGTATTGTAATCTAAGTGACACTAAATATCAAGAAAATTATCCATTTATGCGCCTTTTTAAAATCCCGGTTCCGAACGTAGTCGTATACCTTAACACGAAAAGATTTCCGTTCTGGAAATGAACAAAATACGGAAAACATTAGCCGCGCAGGCGAGATTTAAGAAGGGTGTGAAATGAAAGAGATATGGTTTCACATGCTTCGTAGAAAAGAAGCTAACTTGGCTTTGAAATACCTTCGTAATAGCCGATAACACAAGCCAATGGTGCTTATCTAAGCTATTTCTCCTCCAGACCTACAAACACCACTAAAAAATGTGCTGTAATAAACTTAAATTTGTTGAATATGGTTTTTTTTTCCAATATCCTGTAACATGAAATTCTTTTAACACGAAAAAATATTTCAGTCCCCATAGTTTCATTTTAAACGATTTTCAATGTATTTCGAAAGGCTACACCCATCATCGTAAATACGCATGCGTCAATTGTATTTTTTTAATGGTAAATGTAGGGATGGGAGCAGTGGCGTAACGTACACCCCGCATCTCGGGGGGGGGGATTCTAGGGGATCCAAAGGGTATGG